TTATGTCTATACAACGTTTTATTCTACATGAATGTTAATGTGTAAAAAATACTTTTAGAACAAAAGATACAATTCCTGCCCGTTTTCCTTCATGTGATGAAGATTTCTGTTACGTTTACATGAGATAACGCGTTCTTCTTCGGACTCCTCGTGTGCCGAATAAACGACGTCAGCTTCACCTGAAACCCTAAAGCCTCCAAACGAAGATTACCTTTGCTGGACTGGAAACGTGACCTTTCTGCAGGAACCAGTACATAAACAAATGTCCTGGCCTCACTGCACACAGTAGGCTGATTCTGGGAGGTTATCACACACACACACACACACACACACACACACACACACACACACACACACACACACACACACACACATACACTCTCATATGATTACAGTTACTTTTACTTGTTCAGGGACCATAAACACACTTCGTATTATTCAGACAGAGTCATGTAAATAGTTAAGAAGGAGTTTTATTCTTTTCTAAACTAATGATTATACATGACAAGATATGAACAGTGAGATGTGATGGAGTGGATACGCGGTGATGGAGTGAGATGTGTAGGTGGTGTGATGTAAGCTAGATGTTTATCAGAATCTTTGTATCTGAAAGAAAATGTGAAATCTGGGTGTAAAAGAAATTGTTGTCTGCTATAAACTAGAGTTGATTATTAATAAAACAGCATCAGACGCAATCTGTTGTGTCTACAAACCCTGGCGGAGACCCCCCAGCAGATCCGGACTGTCAGACGTCGGGTGGACCTCACGGCACCGGGATTTCATAGATTAACTCCGATACGACCCGTCCAGTCTTGAGATGTCTCCAGGTCACAACAGTAGCTGGATTGCTTTTCTGTGTCCAAAGTGGACGTGGCTCTTAGGGAGCCGTCTGGTTGTGTCAGCTTGCAGCGTGCAAACAGGTTTTAAATGAATGTCAAAAGATGTCTCAAGGATGCTTGTTCCGGATTGGCCGGTTCAGAACTCTGCTAGAACCTGAATCACTCAGGAATTAATTCTTGTTTTATTAAACTACTTTGTTATGATTTCTGACCATTCTGGCCAATCAGAATGTGCCATGTCTGGAAGGCTTTAGCAAAACATCCCTCAGAAAGCCACGCCTTCCTTCAGATACAAACATGTTTTTAACTTAACATGTGTCTTATTGTCATGTGTGTGAGTGTAAACAACGATGAACTTGTTAAATCAAACACATAGTGATTTGTGATATAAACGGATCATTGTAAGAACAATATTCATTTCAAATTCATTGATTTAAGCACAGATTATTCAAACATTTCATTTAGACATCTTGTTTATTCCTCACATATGATTATTTAACTTATAAGTTGTAAAACCTTGTAGGATTCACTTTTAATCAGAGTGAGGAATCCAGCAGTCTGACTTTTAGCAGAGAGAGAAGGGCTTTTGTGGGAGACCATGACAGTTTATTTATGTCTGCGTTGAAGAACAATAAGTGAGCAAAAGGTTGATGTGCGTCTGGATCTTCCAGCTGGTGTAACTTTGACTTTGCAGATCTGGCGTGTGTGAAAGGTTATTGTGTCAATTCAATGGTGAAAATTGACCCTTTTGATTCACTCTGTAACATCTAACCATAAAAATCGGGTTTAAAATACATGGGAACGCCATTTTTCCAGGTGTGGGAGCCCGTACGATAAATGTTGTTTTACACATTTACCTAACAATTTTCAGGAGCATCCCAGAAGCTGCACGCTGCGCCGCACCGCTAAGGATCGGGTTCTGTTTTTGCCGTGACAATTTCTGCAGTTAACATAGATCTAGACAGGAAATCAGACACGGTTTCAGTGTAAAATCCCGCAAATTTTCAAAATAAAAGTGTATTGCAGCGATGCGTTTTCTTATCAATGTAGACTATGTCTGTGCAAGTGGCCTAACAGCTTATTTACTCCCTGCATCGTTCTAACGTGCAGCGGTGTGTTTTTCATGGCTTTAATCCCGGCAGTGGGGAGGAACAACATCATAAATGACATCAAACAGTGATGGCACATATGATTTCCTTCTTTAGGGTTTAATGGTGGACAGCAGTAACCCGAAGGATTTTATGATCTCGTGAGTCGAGCGAGGAGCACAGCGGAGCAGCCGCCTCACGGCTGAGACTCTCCTGATGTGCCCTGGAGTGCAGCGATCGTCGCGAGTAAACCTTTCCGCTGCCGTTCCGCCTCACTGATGCTCCCACTGTGCAGCAGGGGGAAAGCCATATGGATACTGCGACTTTTGCACTCATAGAGTTCAGCTTCAGTTCAAACTGATTAATTCAGTTAATTAATAATTAACTCATTAATTATAGAGAGATGTATGTACACATCTATGGAAAGTGCAGGAGAGAGTGATGATGAAGGTCATGCAAAAGCCAGCTTGAAGAAGTGAGTTTTCAGCAGCTTTTTGAAGGTTTGAAGGATCTCTTTTCTTTTTCAGTGTGGGGAATTGGTCGTGTGGCATGGGAACACAGTCAGCTGTGTGTGTCCCACATGTGACAGTTGACAGCCCTGTAAATAGCTTTTGTAACACATAAATGTACTCTCCCTCACACGTTTGAAGCATTTATTGAACTCACACTGCCCTCTAGTGGGATAAAGTAAGCAGTGCAGATGCACCAGTACTGGTGGACTACATGTTTCCTGCATTGCAAGTCTTAAATCAGTGCTTTTACATGAACCACAGAGCAACAGCAGCTGCAGCGCTTATACTAAAACTAAATATTAAGTTTTATTTTGTTGTGTCTCACTGGGATTCTTCAGTTTCTGAACGTTTTAGGACAATAAAAAGAATCAGAAGGGTTTTACTATGTGCTAGAAATCACAACATTAGGAAATTGCTGCAGTACTTGGTGCAAAAGAAAGATGAAAATAAGGGATAAGCAAACATAGGAAGTAAGAATATAATCATGATAAAATAATAATGTAAAGGGGCAAAACTTGGAGAAACGGCTACTAAATACAAGACAGTGTGCTGATCAGAGCAGATCAGTTCAGGTGCAAACACAACACCGGGTCAGGTGACACAGGCAGTAAGAATGTTGCTTTTAGTGCAGTGCAGAAAAGGCAGCCTTAATTAGAATAATCTAAATGTATGGATGGCATCTTAATAAATTTACTATCAGTTTAGTATCATTAAACAACTGGAAAATTGTCCACCACTTGATTTATTAGTAGCACATCATTTATCAGACTTACTAATCATTCAGCAAACATTCCAAAGTATGCTCAAAGGTCTTCAATCATACATCTAAAGAAATTAAAACAAGTGGCCTGATGGTGTTTAACACTACAGTGATGTTGATGGTAAACAGACATTGGACTCTGTCATATGCACCAACATTGGTGGAGCTTCATCTTCACAACAGGATTCAAGGATCAAGCGCCAAGTCACGACATGAGTCGTCTCAAGGACCTTCACACAGTAAACATTCCAATACAGGTCAGGTCATTAAGCCAATCAGTAACAAGATTCCTATAGAAGGAACCCAACGGGTCGCATCGAGTCACTGACGAGTGTCAGAGTCTTTACAGCAATCCTCATACTAAGCAAGCATGCAGCGACAGTGGAGAGGAAAACTCCCTTTTAACATGAAGAAACCTCCAGAGAATCCTGGCTCAGTATAAGCAGCCATCCTCCACGACTCACTGGGGATGGAGAACACACACACACACACACACACACACACACACACACACACACACACACACACGCACGCACGCACGCACGCACGCACACACACACACACACACACACACACACACACACCCCAAGCAATGTGTCTATAATTATATTGTGATGTCTTAGTAAATATTCTATTTGGTGAGAGATAAACTTTATTGTATTTATCCTAGTGGATCTATAATTAAACTGATAAACTAGTAGTAGCACATCCAACGTCAAGGAAAGTAAAAAGTTATTATCAGGAGAGAGAGAATGTTTTAGTGGTTAGCAGCAGTGTGCTAGTCGATGGCCCCCTCCATGAGGCCACCACAGCTCAGCAGAACATCGTTGTAGTTTCTTCTGGGGAGAAAAACACTTAGAGAGAAAATAGTTAACAGCTGGAATAGCAGGAAATAATACAGTTAAAGAGCAGATTGTAGAAGAAAGCAGTAGAGTGTGGAAAGTGGTCAGTGTATCCTCCAGCAGTCTAAGCCTATAGCAGCATAACTACAGAGTTAACTCTGGATAACCTATCCTTTTAGATGTAGGCATGTTGGAGGCAGGACAAGGGAGAGCCGTCTTTACCGACTGTACACTCCACCTCCCTGTAATCCCCCACTTGTCCATTCATGAGGTAACTTTACCATTTTGGAGAAAGGCTAGAGTCCAGGTTAGAGGCAACTGTGCAAGAATATGGCATGACAAAATCAAGTGCAAAAGATAAAGTTTCACCAAACATCTTAATTAGTAGTTATCATAAAATCGGAGCTGTCGTCACAGCTATATTTAAGTTTCATGACAAAGTATTTTCACTTTTATTTCCATATTTGTTTGTATGTTTGACACAAACCTGCCAGTGGGTCTAGAAAAAAAGTCTCTTTGATCTCACATATTTACATGTCATAATGTTCCATTTTCAAAAATAAAATTAATCAGAAAAAACTCGCACGTGTTAAAAAATTAAATTATTTGTTTGTCAAACATATGTTTAAATAAATTCAAAGTTCAACGTTTTATGTTTCATTAAAAAATAAAACGCAGTTCATCATAGTTAATGGAAGGAATTATTTAGCAGTATTTCACGTCACTGTGCATCGTTAGAAAAATGCATTTGATTTTTTGCTAAACATCAACCTAAAGTAAATAATTTGGAGGACAATATTTATTATGCAGGTCACGTAATTAAAATGTAAACACAATTTGAATAAAATCTTTTTTAATTTGAAACAATTTCTGAATTTTCTTTTCTTTAATAAAAAACAACTCCTCTGATGGTCCAGTTGCATCGAGTTGTTGTATTTGTAGAGCTGCTGAGGAGAGGAGGCGCTGGAGTGTGGGATTCTGCGGGAATGGGGAGCTAGACCAACGCCATCTTTAAACCCCACTGGAGGCCAGCTACAATTGCACTGGGATAAAAAACAACATTCGTACTGCCTGATATCAGGTCAAATATACGAGATAGTCTCGTCGTTTGAAGCTCGAGTCCTTATTTGCGACTTGTCCTGTGGGACTTTCAGAGGACCGTCCCGGGAAACCGCGAGACCTACAATGTTGTGAACATAGGCAGAGAATAACAATAGACGGAAAGACAACAACAACGCTAGCAGTTTGCAGAGCACTAGCTAACGTCAGCTAACTCATTAGCATTGCTCCCAGCTTGTGTTGAAATTCAGCCGGACGGGAACCGCAGTTGGCACCGGGTACCCTGTCACACCTACAGATTGAGACAGTCGTTGTTTTAATTTCTTGTTATTTTCTTTTTCATTTTTATTTTTGAGTAAAGTTGATGCTGTCGCCCTAGCTAGCTGAAAGCTAAGTCCTGACTTCTCCCCAGCGGCCCAGCCGGAGATGCGTGGAAGATGTCTGTGTCGGGGCTGAAGGCCGAACTGAAGTTTTTGGAGTCGATATTTGATCCAAACCACGAACGATTCAGGATCATTGACTGGAAGCCGGATGAGCTGAGCTGCCAGTTTAATGTTACTGGGGAAAAGCTGTTAATTATCCACTGTAACATTACGGTAAGTAAGCTGGAGCAGCAGCACCGAGGTTAAGCTAGTTAGGCACTTCCCTTGGTGCTCGGTTCAAAACTGAGCCAGTGAACCTGCTAAACAGACTGCAGGTTACTTCTATACTGGCAGGATACGTCGGTGTTTAAAACTAATTTTGTTACAAAGTGAGGCGTTGTTCTCGGCGGGGTTTACGTTCGGGGAATGTGAAGTTCAGCGGTTAGGAAGCTACCTTAGCATCAGGCTAGCTATCAAACTGAAATCAGGATGTCAAGTCGGAATTTAACTTTTTTAATTCAGCGTTCAGTGCTGCGGAAAAAATGAGCGTCAGTGTGCATAAAATGTGCTGCTATAAATGTTTTGTTTACGCTTCGATTTCCTGTTTTTAGGAATCTTATCCATCTACGCCACCAATATGGTTTGTTGACTCTGACGATCCGAGCTTGACGCAAGTTTTGTCAAGGTTGGAAGATGTTCGGAAAGGCAGCACCCTGGTAGGTTCACCCTGCTTCTTTAGCTTCTGTGCCTTTTGACGAGTATCTAATGTTCAGAAGTGCACATGTTGTGGTTTACCAAAGGTAGATTTCAGGAAGGAAGCCGTGTTTAACCCAGCCTTGTTCGGGAATCCTGTCCCAACTGGTTTTGTAAATGCCAGACCAGGGTGAAGTTGTGGTCTCTTCAAGGAGGAGTTATCAATAATCTCAGCAATTACAGCCACACTCATGCATGAATTACACCAGCGAGCAGCAGTCCTTATGTAACATCAACTGTCACTATGATGATGATGATGCTGGTAACCTTCTAAAATAATCATGATCCCAGTTAAAGTACAAAACCAAATCTAAAATCCCAGTTTAAGTGTTTTAATGCTAGCTCATCCATTAAACTCAAGTACTTAAGATAGGAAGTTTTAGATAAATGCATAAAAAGGAATTTCTGATCCAGGAGTCTCCTGACTGGGTGGGATTAACTAGGTCAGGATGATGGTCAGCTTCCTAAACTACTAAACAGGTTGAACTTTTCCTGGGTTTCTGTAAGTGATGCACCAAAACCAACCATAGCTGTGATGTCATTACTCAGCAGTGATGACAAGTCGTCCCAGGAGTTACCATCAGGTTACAACTATATAGGTGCCTGGAAAACCTGGAAATAAAGACCAAAACATGTCAAATTACTCAGATTATTAATGTTGCTTTCACATCCACAGACTTATTGGGACAGGAACGTTTAACTTTACTCCTTGCAGTGGAATAGAACTCGATAAATGAGGAATAATGTGTTTTTGTCCCCCAGTAAGTGAACATGAACGTACAGACGGACGGTTTGGTGACCATGAACCACTCGACTGCTCCCAGATAGTTTTAAATCAAATGTCAGGTGATCTTTCATCAACTGGGTAGTTTATCTCCTAACTCTTAAGTCAGAGTTGGTATGAACACATGAAAAAGTGACCATCTTTGTTTTAGGTGCCAGTGAAGCTCTGATATCACTCATAAAAACGCTGCTCAGTCAACAGCAGACGTAACAACAAAGGACATTTTTGTCTTGTATTTTAAAGGACTGGTTGGTAGAGAGGTTGTGTTTTTATGTGTAATCTCTAATCTGCTCCAGGTTTCCTGTTGTTGCTGGAAAACCTGATGTTACCTGGTTAAGCCACTAATTACTAATGTGCATTTTTAATCTGTTTGCTATTGACCCCTTGAATGTTGTTGTTTACGTCAGGGTAACTGCGCACAGCCACACAACGCTGAGGTACAAGAACCCCGTCTCCAGCCATCATCCAGAGCTGTATCTCTGCGATTTAAGCTAACAAAATAAAACGTAGGGGTTTCGATATTACTACTTTAGATCATCTAACATTTCTTTGTGCAAATGATCAAAAAGGAAACCTCTCAAAGCTAACGTGTTTAGCATAAAGCTTCCAGATCTGTTTAAAATAGCTAACGAGCTGAGATGACAGTCTTCAGAACTGCCGCCTGGACTTTTCGCAGCTGAATCAACAAAGGAGTAACCGGATGCCTTCTACGTTTTGCGGGTTAATGCTGAAGGATGGCCGTGACACCGCTCGTCTTTGGAGATTAACGGATGCCAGTTTATTCTGACGAGCAACGTAAACAAACACAAATGAAGACGTTAGAAGCTGACTGCTCCAATTACACAACACATTTAGTGTAATTATTGACCCGCGGGTCACACAGAACTACACACCAAACCGGTGTTGTCATTTTCACATACATTTATTTCTCAGGACTGATCAGCAGTGTGGCTGTTCCGCTCAGCCAGTGCTCCTCCCCCGCTACTTGTGCCTTGCAGCCGTACATAATTATGTCTAAAAGCATACAAGGCATTAAATGGCTGTAACTTGTTTGTGTGTGGTCATGTGGGGCAGAGCTTTGCTTTTTTATTCTGTCATGGGACTTTGGCTGCCACGGTGTGGGTGAACGTCCACTAGAGCGGCTGTAAACCACTGCCTTTGACATATTTTAACTGCTGGAAACCTGTAAAGGGTGTGATTGGATGAATGATTCACTGTAGTGTAAATCACTTTGGAGTCTTCTGACTCAGAAAGGCACTAAGTGCGGGTCGTTTATCATTTAAAATTTCACGTTATTGTCTTTCTTTTGTTTATTGTCCAGCCTGCAGCGCTACACGTGTTAACCCTGTTGATAGATTTTATTTTGCTGTAATTTAGCCCACTTTATTGACACCTGACATCTTCTTGCCCTCCGGCCTGAAGCAGAGGTGTGTAATGTCGCTGGGTCTAGAGTGGGAGGTCCGTACGTATCAGCCAAGGGAAGATTTGACCCTTTAACTATGAAGGGGTGGCCTGTATTTGATATAGCACCTTCTAGAGTCCTAGAACCCCCTAAGGCACCTTACAACACTGACTACGTTTACATGCAGCCAGTATCCGGGTTATGATCGGGTTAAGGTCGGTATTCGGGTTTCTGAGTTGATCAGAATAACCCGTTTACAAGCATAGATAGAAAGAGTTACCCCTAACATGCATAACCCGATTTAAATGCAGATGTTGGGGTAGCATCAGGACGTATGGACGCAATATGCGTCATTTCCGGTTCTTCTCATTCCGGTATCCGTGAAAACAACAACATGTTTCCCAGTTCGGAAGAGATAGCGACCGCGTTTGTTTGCGCTTTAGTTTCTTCGTCACTCCAAAAGTGTGGTGTTGTGCCGCGACTCGCCATGTTGCTCCAAACTTGTTGTTTACTTCCGGTGTTCTGGTGCATACAAGACGTCTCGCTACTCAAAAGACCAAGATTCCTTGCGAACAGAGCATGTGCAGAACACACGCTTTGATGGGGATATCCCGGTATGCGTTTACACGACCAAACATTCGGGTTAGAAAAGGGTTACCCCAGGTGTAGTAACCGGGTTTTGAGCATATCCGGGTTTTTGGCGGTGTTTACAAGGACCTGCGGAACCGGGTTATTGTGAATATTCGGGTTTTAAAAGGGTTACTGGCTGCATGTAAACGCACTGACTATTGGTCATTCACACATTTACACCCTAGGGGTGATGACCTACAGTGTAGCCACAGCTGCCCTGGGGCGCACTGACATCTAAGCCGGAGGCCTGCCATATGCTGGCGCCCCTCCGACCACCACCAGCAGGCAAGGTGGGTGAAGTGTCTTTCCCTCACTCGTGAACAAGACCCCGAGATACTTAAACTCCTCCACTTGAGGCAGGACCTCATCCCTGACCCGGAGAAGGCTTTCTACCCTTTTTCTGACTCAAGACCATGGCCTCAGATCTAGAGGAGCTGATTTTCATCCCAGCTGCTTCACACTCGGCTGCGAACCGCTCCAGCGAAAGCTGAAGATCACGTTCTGATGAAGCCAACAGGACCACATCATCTGCAAAAAGCAGAGACCTGATCCTCAGGCCACCAAAACGGATGCCCTCCACACCTTGGCTGCACCTAGAAATCCTGTCCATATGAACAGAATCGGTGACAAAGGGCAGCCTTGGCGGAGTCCAACTCTCACTGGGAACGAGCCCAACTTACTGCCGGCAATGCGGACCACGCTCTGACACCGGGAGGGGTACAGGGACCTAACGGAGGGCCTGGTACCCCCGAAGTACCCCCAAAGGACCCCCCGAGGGACGCTGTTGAGCGCCTTCTCCACATCCACCAAACTAAATATCTGTCTAAATATATTTAAATAAAAATGTTCATACCAGTTAGCATTTCCAAATCTGTGTGCATTTCCAAGTTCCCACCCTTCAGCTACAATTATCCTTGTTTAGACTGTTCCCACCAACTCTTGCTGCTCGCTCAAAGCTGATTGGCTGTGCACCTTCACTATTTAACACAAATTTATATTTTGTTCACAATCTGGAGCTCCGTGCGGCTGCAACTCTTTTTATTCTGAGCCGTCAGGAACGTTTTCCTTGAGCGACGTCACGTCCAGTTCAGGTGCCGATGACAGATGAGCGAGGAGAGCCTAGTGGGATCTAGGGTTGTCACGGTGAAAAATATAGCCTCACGATTATTGTGACCAAAATTATCACGGTTTTCGGTATTCTCGCGGTATTTTTTTTTAAACGTGTTACATTTTCAGACAACTAAATAAACCCTGTATATCAGTTTGTGTCTAAATGTTGCCTAAAATTTTTTGTTTTGTAATCATGTTGGGCTGCATGGTGGCGCAGTGGTTAGCACTGTTGCCTCGCAGCACGAAGGTCGCAGGTTCGAAACTTGGCTGCAGCCTTTCTGCGTGGAGTTGCGTGTTCTCTCCATGCATGCGTGGGTTTCTTCCGGGTACTCCGGTTTCCCCCACACATCACAACATGCCCTGTAGGTTATAAACTGTAAGTCGCTTTGGATAAAAGCATCTGCTAAATAAATAAACATAAACATGTTGTTTATTTGTTTACCTTTTTCCTCTTTAGTCTTTAACTCATTCACTGCCAGCCGTTTCCTGATCGGTACAGCCCTTCGCTGCCAGCGTTTTTCAGCGTTTTTACTGTTTTTTAAGAGTGACAGAACGTTGCGCGCTAGGATGATGTCGACGCCAAAACAACCAAAACAAAGCGGAGACTCACCTCTTACATCAGGAAGAATCCGCGTGTTTCGAGCGTTATCCATTCTTTCATAATCCGTTGTTGAATTGTGATCGGCAGAAGCTTTTCCGGTTCGTTCCTCACTTTTTTTACAGCAGCGGCCCAAAATGATCTCCTAACACATGGATGTTCTGCTTCCTGATCATGTGACGTGTGACGTATGCGGATGAAGATCGGCTTTAGAGCTGAGATGTTAGTTCTCACGGTGCGGGGGCTCGTCCGACGCTTACACAGTAAAAAAAAAAAATGCAAATGACGACTTGAGTCATCATGGGCAGTGAACGAGTTAAAATACCTAAATTTGCCCGTATCTTCTTAATTTTATTTGTTTGTCATCTTTTTAAAAAAAATGAGATCAGATGATACTCGGTAGTCAAGGAGCCTTCTAATCAAATACTTTTTTATCCTTGAGTAATTTCTTGGACAGCTACTTTTACTTGAGTAAAAGGTGTTGAAGTAGTGCTGCTCTTACTTGAGTACAGCTGTCGGCTACTCTACCCAGACCCGCCTTTGGATCAGGGGCGGCCAAGCTGCTTCCCTCAGTGGGACAAAGTAAAAATCTATCCCCCACTTCTGTTATTTCATGATGTGCTGTTGGTCGTTTCGAGGGTATTGGTTAGGGTTGTACTAGGTATAGCACCAGAAACGTGTTATATTTTCAGACAACTACATAAACCTAGCCTGACCTGCCAGCCCCAAGCGTGGGGTCTAAAACATCTTCTATTCAAATTGCCCCGCCTCCTGAGAATTCTAACCGAGCCAATCAGCACTGAGTAGCGTACGTCACACACCACGACGCTGAGTTTGTCATAAACGTGGCGTCTGAAGCGCAGTGCGCTGCGGCTCTTTCCTCTGTTCTACAGGTGCTGGCCAGTAAATTAGAATATCATCAAAAGGTTGAAAATATTTCAGTAATTCCATTCAAAACGTGAAACTTGTACATTATATTCATGCAATGCACACAGACCAATGTATTTCCGATGTTTATTACGTTTAATTTTGATATTTATAGGTGACAACCAATGAAAACATCAAATCTGGTATCTCAGAAAATTAGAATATTCTAAAGGCCAATGAAAAAATGTTTGTTTCTCTAATGTTGGCCAACTGAAAAGAATGAACATGAAAAGAATGTGCATGTATAGCACTCAATACTTAGTCGGGGCTCCTTTTGCCTCAATAACTGCAGTAATGCGGCGTGGCATGGACTCGATCAGTCTGTGGCACTGCTCAGGTGTTATGAGAGCCCAGGTTGCTCTGATAGTCGTCTTCAGCTCCTCTGCATTGTTGGGTCTAGCGTATTGCATCCTCCGCTTCACAATACCCCATAGATTTTCTATGGGGTTAAGGTCAGGCGAGTTTGCTGGCCAATCAAGGACAGGGATACCATGGTCCTTGAACCAGGTGCTGGTGGTTTTGGCACTGTGTGCAGGTGCCAAGTCCTGTTGAAAGGTGAAGTCTGCATCCCCATAAAGTTGGTCAGCAGCAGGAAGCATGAAGTGCTCTAAAACTTCCTGGTAGACGGCTGCATTGACCCTGGACCTCAGGAAACAGAGTGGGCCAACACCGGCAGATGACATGGCACCCCACACCATCACTGACGGTGGAAACTTTACACTGGACCTCATGCAACGTGGATTCTGTGCTTCTCCGCTCTTCCTCCAGACTCTGGGTCCTTGATTTCCAAAGGAAATGCAGAACTTGCTTTCATCAGAAAACATAACTTTGGACCACTCAGCATCAGTCCAGTCCTTTTTGTCCTTGGCCCAGGCGAGACGCTTCTTGCGCTGTTTCTTGTTCAAGAGTGGCTTGACACACGGAATGCGACACCTGAATCCCATGTCTGTCATGAGTCTCCTCGTGGTGGTTCTTGAAGCGCTGACTCCAGCTGCAGTCCACTCTTTGTGGATCTCCCCCACATTTTTGAATGGGTTTGTCGTCACAATTCTCTGCAGGGTGCGGTTATCCCTAGAGCTTGTACACTTTTTTCTACCACATTTTTTCCGTCCCTTCGCCTGTCTGTTAATGTGCTTGGACACAGAGCTCTGCGAACAGCCAGCTTCTTTAGCAATCACCTTTTGTGTCTTGCCCTCCTTGTGCAAGGTGTCAATGATTGTCTTTTGGACAGCTGTTAAGTCAGAAGTCTTCCCCATGATTGTGGTGCCTTCAAAACAAGACTGAGGGACCTTTTAAAGGCCTTTGCAGGTGTTTTGAGTAAATCAGCTGATTAGAGTGGCAGCAGGTGTCTTCTATATTCAGCCTTTTCAGAATATTCTAATTTTTTGAGATACCAAATTTGGAGTTTTCATTAGTTGTCACTTATGAATATCAAATTTAAATGTAATGAACATTGGAAATACATTGGTCTGTGTGCATTGCATGAATATAATGTACAAGTTTCACGTTTTGAATGGAATTACTGACATATTTTCAACCTTTTGATGATATTCTAATTTACTGGCCAGCACCTGTAAATGACTTGGACACGTCGTTAAAACCACAACAAGTAGAAGCGCTAAAAGCCTTTCTTATAAAAGTAAGTGTTTGAGTCGTCGCCAGACGCCATTTTTGACTACAGCTAAAAATCTCGTCTCCGCCGAGCCCCGCATGGTTGCGGGCGCGGCTGCCGGTGCGGACACTCGAGAGGTCTCATCCGAGCTGCCCGTGCCGCGCACCTAGGGCCTCACACGGCGGAGGCGGACACCTTCAGCGGGGGATGGCAGTAGGGAGGCTCGGCCCGGACGACGTGCCAGCGTCTGACCCGAGCTCGGACGTCCGCCGCGGCGGGGTACCCGCCCTGAACTGAGCCGTGGTGCATTTTTCAGACAGGAGCGGTGGGTGGAGCAGGACTCCGGTGGGGGTGTCTGACCCATTATCGTTAGATGAGAACACGTTTACTTCTCAGACATTGCATTGGGACCTGTGATGTCAAAGGTCAAGCGCGGTAGTGTGCAGCTCCTCCAGTGCACCGTTTCCAAACAACTTTGGTTCTGGGAAAACAAAAAGTCACCACATATGAACGCAGATATTTCTGCTATGAGGCGTTGCACCGTAGTTGCATCAGCAGGCTGTAAATCTGGTGGTTCTTCTGCTTTAGCTTCTGCAGCAGCTGAAAAAGCTCATCTGTGACCTTTGTCGGTTGTACAACCTTCCACAACATCCCGACGTGGAGATGCTGGACCAGCCCCTGCCTGCAGGTCCTGTTGAAAAAGACAAAAAGGTGAGTTTTCCTCGTTAATGTTACTGATGAGTGAATCATATACGTCCCTGCTGGGGTGATCTTTATCAGACACCATGAACTAGGTGAGTTTGTTTGTGTGTGCAGCACGGAACCGAGGAGGTCACATCAGAGGAGGAGGAGGAGGAGGAGATGGGAGAAGTAAGATGCCATCTTGTCTGACATTCTTGCTGTGTGGATTTAGTTTGATGATTATTTTTCTATGGTCATGGACGTCAGGGCTTTAGAAGAGCTGCAGTTGTGATTTTATACGTCTTTCCTTGGAGATGTCGGGCGTTTGGCTTCATTAACAGACACGGTTCTGTTTTTCCTGGAAAACCGAGACCTCTCTGTTTTACATTATCAGCTGCTGGAAGACCATAAAACCCATCTAAAGTGTCCCTGATCTGTTTTTAGGACATCGAGGACCTGGATCACTATGAGATGAAAGAGGAGGAGCCGGTGGATGGGAAGAAGTCTGAAGATGATGGCATTGAAAAGGAGAATTTGGCAATTCTGGAGAAGATCCGGAAGACCCAGAGACAAGACCACCTAAATGTGAGTGTGGGTCTCGTGAGGGGTGAGGGGCTGTAAAAGACCGGTCCGTGGGAGCTGCGTGGGGCTGGGCGTTCATAATGCTGTGAAACTCCTTCCGTTTAACGTTTTGTAGTTTGTGAAATGGTGATGTGTCATTAATGCCTTCCTCACCTAGAGTTCAGGAAAGCTGGTTATCCAGGTGGGAAATGGTAACGTCTGGTGTTCTCTGTCCTAATCCAGGCTCTTGTCTTTTGCAGGGAGCTGTTTCTGGCTCCGTTCAAGCCTCTGACCGTCTGATGAAGGAGCTGCGAGAGATCTACCGATCTCAGAGTTACAAGACAGGTGTGTTTGCTCTACAGGCGTAGGTGGAAGTGTCTGAAGCATGCACACTTTCAGAAGCTGCATCACGGATTCTTAATGGCTATGTGATCGGATGAGAATGTGAGATTGGGTTTAGTCGTCGAACATTTCTGTGAGACGTTCGTTCCGGTCAGAATCGTCTTTTCCTTTTCTAGGAACCCAAAGAAGGTTGAGATAAAAATAATTGTGGTTGGTACCTCGCAGTGAGGCTTTTCTGAAGATGCATAATTATCTTCTGCAGGCATCTATTCAGTGGAGCTGGTTAATGACAGCTTGTATGAGTGGCACGTCAAACTGAGGACGTAAGTAGTGTGTCGTGGGTCGTTTTCGCTCCTGTCGGCAGAAACCCTGACTGGATTTTCTGTTTCCTGACCAACAGGGTGGATCCCGACAGCCCTTTGCACAGTGACTTACAAGTCTTAAAGGAGAAAGAAGGAATGGATTACATTTTACTAAACTTCTCATACAAGGTGAGTGAAAAAAACTCTTTGTGCAAATGAGTCCAAGCTCTTGGAGCTTCTGCAGTTTAATGCGTGAAACGCTTTTCCTTCACAGGATAACTTCCCCTTCGACCCACCGTTTGTGCGGGTAGTTTCTCCTGTGCTTTCTGGAGGGTACGTCTTCTCCTCTTGGTTACCATGACAACGCTGGGGCTGTAGTAAATGAGTTGATCCTTTTCTGTCTCTTTAGCTACGTTCTGGGAGGAGGCGCACTGTGCATGGAACTTCTCACCAAGCAGGTGTTTAATAAAGTCCAGATGTGGATTTGAGTCGCTCGAATCGCCCTTCTGTTCTTACTGAGGTTATTAATTACAGGGTTGGAGCAGTGCCTACTCCATTGAGTCTGTCATCATGCAGATCAACGCCACGTTAGTCAAAGGAAAAGCCAGAGTGCAGTTTGGAGCCAATAAAGTGAGTGATGTTTAAGAATGTACCATGGCCTGGGTTTTTGTGCCTTGTGACCTCTAGAAGCTTCAGAGTTCTGCTAACCCTGAATGATGCTAGAGGAACAGTTGTTTGTGGAAATGTTACTAATCAGCTGACGTGGGGGGGGGGGGGGGGTGGGGGGGGGGCAGCGATTATGAACGCTTAAAATTTGGATCGGCACGTGTGAATCATCACAACCCTAGTGTTTACAGTCCAGTGGAGGAGGGACCTGCCTGGATGGGGAGGGGCGGGTCGTGATGATGCAACGACGACGTCCTGCAGCCGGGACAGGAAGATGCATGTGTGAAGCTAAAGCTGCTGTGGAGCGTTTGTCATGAGGAAACTATAATAAAAGCTGCTCAGACAGCCACATTTTCGCTTAAAGGGTCACAACGCTTCGAACCCAGTAGGAGACGGTCGTTTCAGAACACTAACGCTGTCTTCATTTTCTTCTTCTGCAACAGAACCAGTACAATCTCGCCAGAGCACAGCAGTCCTACAAATCCCTGGTTCAGATTCACGAAAAGAACGGTGAGTGTTCACAGAGCTTAGCTGGCACATCTGCTGAAGTCAGCGCAGACGTGTTGGTGTGTGGCTAGCGTTAGTGTGTGTCGTTACACTTGGTTTGTGCTGCGCAGCAGATCAACAACAGCAACACAAAGTCTCTTAAGTCCTACTTAAACTAAATAAATGCAGCAGAAGTCTTCTCTGGACCAATCAGCAGCTCCGGTGAGGGTTCCAACAGGTACAGGCTCAAGTTTTACCTTCACCTAAAACCCACCTCGGTCAAGTGTTGAAGTAATCAGATTACTGTGTTGTTATACAGCCGGTCTGCTTTGTGCAGCTCTTACAAGCTGCTGGTGCCAAGTTTCATTTACTGTAGCAGAAGCACCGTGGAGCAGCTACATTAGATTAGATTAGATTAGATTAGATTAGAATGATAAATAAATCTAAAAATGTTTGAAATTTGAAGTTATTGACAACAAAGAAACTCAATCTGTCAGTTATAGAAATGTTTTCACCTCTTTGTATATGAAGTCTACCTCTAGCTTATTATAACATTTGTTAGATCACAGCTTTTTTAGCATATTTAACCTTTGACCCGACCCTGAGTCCTAATGAAAAAACTGATTTGTCTTTATTTCATAACAAGTCCGATTGGCTCACATGATTAGCTTATTTATGTTTATGTGTTAAGGGGACAAGGAGAGGACAGTAGAGTGGGGACGGGTTTAGAAGATGCTCTCTGAAGAGCAGGGTCTTCAGGAGTTTCTTTAAAATCGACAAGGCAGCCGCTGTTCTGGTAGAGCTTGGTAGCTCATTCCACATTAGGGCTGGGCGATATGGCAAAAATAGAATATCACGATTTTTCCAATATTTTTTTCACGATTTCGATTTTATCACGATTTTTTATCCATGAATAGCATAACTTCAATTGCGTATTAAAGAAGAGAAACATTGAATAAATAAACATTTATTCATATTAGGGATAATCAGCACAGTGCTAACACACTTATATTTTAAACTCACACCAGAGATGATAAAAGTCCTGAGAGAAACAATTGCAAAAATCTGTTTTTCTCGTTTTTCAAGTAACTTCACATAAATTAAAATCGTAAACATATTTAATGTGCAAACATGTCAATTGCAAACGTATTGTGCAAACATTAACTTGTTCAAAATACTATGTAGCTCCCAGTTGCTCATGTAGTGGATAGTTAAGCTCAAATACGGCTCTGATGTGCGGCTGGACCAGAGATCGCTTGTGGTAGCAAATAACTGCACATTCTGAATATTTTCTGCAACTCTCACTTTGCATTCAGCGTACATGCGTGGAATGGCGGTGTTCGAAAAATACTTGCGGCTGGAAAACTCGTAGCGCGGATCCAATGTTTTTATCATGTTCTTAAATCCTGCTCCTACTGTTCACACGGGACGCAAATATTTAACCAAGTGGTACGTCACTGCATCTGTCACGCTGTTCCATCGTCCACTGTCTGTTGTAGGGAGTGAGTTTTGTGTGTTTGTCAGCGTTTGCTGGCTGGAAGAAGCGCTAGCCGCTGCAGCCGCAGCCGCAGGCTTTTTAGCTTTAGCTGCCAGCTGGCTCTCATTGTATTGTTTGGGATGCCTTCTTTTCAAGTGATTAAACAAGTTTGTGGTGTTGCCATCACTTGCCTTGACGCTCTCCTTGCAAATGACGTTTCGCTGCTCTTTGTCATCTGGTGAAAAACCAAACCAGTTCCATATAACGGACGAGGCGTTCCTCTTCGGAACGAAAACCTCGTTGTTGCTCTCAGCCGCGGCCGAAGCCATGTTTGTTCACACACAGGTGAAAACAAGCGGGGCACTAATATATTACTATGACTCACTCTGATTGGTTAAGAGTCAAACAAAGGCGTGTCATTCGCCGGAGGTAAGTTCCCTTTTCATTCAGAGGCAGAAATTCAACAGCAGAGCTGTGAATCGTGATAAAAAGGTCTCTCAAAAATGACAGACCGTCAGATGTGTAGATCGTAAAACGGTCTAAAATAGTCATATCGCCCAGCCCTACTCCACATCTGTGGATCGATGCATGAAGAGAGTCTGGACTGTCCTGAGCGTGGTGTAGGCACTGCTAGCCGACCATCCTTAGAAGACCGGAGAGGCCGGGCCGTGACGTAAGCCTTTGCAAGAGGACTCGGGTAGATGGGAGCTGTAGCATCCAGTATGCTAGTTAGCGGTTAGAATTTGATGCGTGCTGCTAGCGGTAGCCAATGGGGATCAATGAACAGAGGGGTGACGTGTGCTCTTTTAGGCTGATTGAAGACCAGACACGCCGCTGCGTTCTGGACCATCTGAAGAGGTCTCACAGTACAGCCTGGAGGACCAGTTAGAAGGGCGTTGCAGTAATCGAGGCGGGAGATGACAGTAGATTGCACCAGGAGCTGGTGGCATGTTGTGTTAGCTACGGTCTGATCTTTCATACGCTGTCCAGCACGGAGCGGCATGATTATGTTATAACTACGTAAACAGACACCTTATACAGGCCATAAAACTACACACATTTTAGGTTTGTTGTCAGAAAGAAAACATTTTAGGTTTTAAATGAGAAACGCACGACTTTATGTAAAGTAATAGCTCTTTGGTGACTGGTTAAGAGTTAAGCAGGGTCATGGGATGACTACAGTTAGATGTTTAGACTTGAAAGAGGAATCGACAGGAGTCATAATCCTCGTTGAGGTATGTTTGATGGCCGTTATCCTCATGTTTTAGTTTTTTCACTCTTTGTTTGGTGGTTGAATCAACGCTCTGCAGAAGCCTGTTAATCATTAACAACTCACATCTAAAGCATGCAGGAGAATCCTAAAAGACCAGCGTTAACCCTCTGGGCTCCAGGGTTTAAGTTGCTGTTTTTGACTCATTTTGATTTTTCTTTGTATTTCAAAATAAAACCCATAACTACTGCCTTATGTGGTATCAGTCTTTTCAGCACAGCCTGAATTTATACTTATGTTTTATATCTGGACATAAGTGGATTGCATATCACACCTTAATGTTAGAATATTGAACATTTTAATAAAAATCCATATTAAAAAAACGTATAAAAATGTTTAAAAGCAAATAAAAATGTATAAAAACAAATAAAAACGTATTAAAACAAATAAATACGTAAAAAGGCAAATAAAAATTGTATAAAAATGTATAAAAGCTCATAAATAACGTATAAAAACCAATAACATAAAAGCAAATAAAAATGTATAAAAGCAAATAAAAAACGGATAAAGCGAATAAAAAACTTATAAAAGCGAATAAAAACACGTAAAAGCAAATAAAAATGTTTAAAAGCAAATAAAAATGTTTAAAAGCGAATAAAAATGTATAAACAAATAAAAACGTATTAAAACAAATAAATACGTAAAAAGGCAAATAAAAATTGTATAAAAATGTATAAAAGCTTATAAATAACGTATAAAAACAAATAACATATAAAAGCAAATATAAAACGTATAAAGCAAATAAAAAACGGATAAAGCGAATAAAAAACTTATAAAAGCGAATCAAAAACATAAAAGCGGATAAAAACACGTAAAAGCAAATAAAAATGTATAAAAGCAAATGAAAAATGTATAAAAACATATAAAAAACTTAAAAAAATGAATAAAAGTGAATAAAAAATGTATAAAAGCTAATAAAAATGTATAAAAGCTAATAAAAATGTATAAAAGCTAATAAAACATTAAAAAAATTTATAAAAACATATAAACTTAAAAAAATGTATAAAAGCGAATAAAAAATGTTTTTAAGTAAATAAAAATGTATAAAAGCAAATAAATGTATAAAAAATGTATAAAAACATAGAATAATCTTGTAAAAATGTGTTAAAGCAGATAAAATATGTATTAAAAACTTATAAAAGCGAAATAAAAATGTTTAAAAGCGAATAGAATGTATAAAAGCAAATAATGTATAAAAAATATATAAAAACTTATAAAAATGTGTAAAAGCGAATAAAAATGCATAGAAGCGATTAAAAAACGTATTAAAGTGAATTAAAAACACGTAAAAGGAAATAAAAATGTATAAAAGCAAATTAAAAATGTATAAAAAATGTATAAAAACTTATAAAAATGTGTAAAAGCGAATAAAAATGCATAGAAGCGATTAAAAAACGTATAAAAGTGAATTAAAAACACGTAAAAGGAAATAAAAATGTATAAAAGCAAATTAAAAATGTATAAAAAATGTATAAAAACCCGATAAAATCATATAAAAACTTATAAAAATGTATAAAAGCTAATAAAAAACAAGAAAACAAATACAATTACAATAAATAGAATAGTAGGCAGGCTTTCAAACCCCGAGTCTGGACTTGAGAAATGTGGGTACGCATGCAGGCTTTATTCTCAGCGCCGCCACCAAAGTTCTCTCGTTGAACTCTCGTCAGTCTGACAGAAACTAAACGCAGGAGCGTTGGGGACGCGATCCAGACTGGTGCAGCAAACCTGGACCTTAGTTTGAGAGGATTAGTTCATGAATGTTTAACATTCAGCGGACAGGATGGAGAGGCCCGGCAGCTCACCAGAGGAACTCGAGGAATCGTTCTGATAAATGTTGTTTGTAGTTTGCCACCAACAGGTCTTGGCTGACCGAGTCACGGTGTGTTTGTGTGTCCCTCTAGGTTGGTACACACCCCCTAAGGAGGACGGCTAACACAGACTGCTGCCTTTCTGCTCCGGGACCACGTCTTACGTTTTCCTTTCTCTTTGAGACCAATATCGTTTTTACGCTGCAAGTGTTTTTTTATCTCTACTCAACCGTTTGAACTCCAAACCAAATTCCTCGTTTAAGGATCACCTGAATCCCAGCACAGACTCTGAAACGCTCATCTCCATGGAAACGTGGACACTCCTGCTACCCGCAGCGCTGTCCTTTCTTCAGAGGCGCGTCTCTGTTTATCTGTCGTCTGGTGATGTTTTTTCCTCGTTGCAATAATCATCTCATGCCCCGTGACGTTGGTGGACTGAACCTGCAAACTCACCTTTTGGCTTAGCGCCGAGCATGTCCAGGCACCTGGCTGGCCCGGCGCTGAAAGGCATAGCGTGACTCCCGAGGCTGGATGCTTTTACACCTCGTCTTTTCAAGCCCTGAGGAAGGGGGGAGGACACTGAAGGGGCTTTTGAGGAAACGACGAGATGCAGCCGGGCCGCTCTGCAGGAGAGGTTTGGTGCACGAGCTTAGCAGACACGATCCAGGCAGAGCGGGGCGTGTCTGGGTCGGGTCGGGTCACTGTTGATTTTAACTCCACTGTAAACATGTAAATTTGTATTTCTGCTAAAGAACTTGTTTATAATGTAACTGTGTGAAGGTCTTCGGCCGGGAGGAGACCGTGAGGCTACACGCCTGATGATTCAGTGCAGCAGCACTGCAACTTAAGGCCGTTTAAAATAAAAAATGTTCAAAAAAAGGAACTCCTCAAGTGTCGGAAACAAACAAAGGTGTAAACTAAACTAACCCGGATGTTTTTGCTGGCTCCGCCCCTCTGACAGCTGTACACCGGAGGTTTGGACCTCAGTAAGGCCGTGCAGCAGGAGTTATGAGACCACGCTTCGTTGTCTCCCTCTCGGTTCTCGGTCCTGTCTCACTTCCTGACAGGAGGGGGGAGGGCCCTTCTGGTTTTTCTCTGAGCTGATGTTTTGAATTGAACCTTCAGCCAGACTCGCAGCAATAGCGTCCTCCATCTAGTCTAGTTTGGATTATTTAGACTGGATGACATCCGCCGCCAGGACACACCTCAGCTCTTCCCGCTCTAAGCCTCGTCCGGCCACCACTCCGGTGTCATGTGACTAATATGCAGAAGAGGCTGCGGAGCATTCCGGTGAACGCAGTCGCGTTTGTTCTGTGGTTCCTTTGTTGTGTTAAAACCAGCATCACGGCTCAGCCGAGCCGTTTCACAGCGACACTTCACGGCAGACTTTTTGATTCTCTGAAACGAACGAAGCTCGCTCTCTGGACAAGCTAACTCAGGAATACATAACTGCACACTCAACCTTCCATTCAGTCGCCACACACGGCGAATGAATGTCTCAACCTGCTTTCTGTTTTTAAGCTGCGCTAGCGTCCTCCGGCGCCGTGGGGTCAGCTGTTTGCGTTCCACCCTTCCTCATCGAGGCTGAAGGTTTCTCATCAGGCGGTCGGACTTGTGAAGTCCAGGTCGCTGCTCCGCTCAGACTGTGGTGGGGTGGCTTCAGAGCTCATGGACCCTTCCTCTTTGATCTTGCTGTATTTTGCATGTCAGTTTAGCACTTGGTGCCCCCCCCCCCCCCCCCCCCCCCTCGTGGGCGACAGGTGGTGGTTTTGGGTGGTTAGAAAGTCTAGATGTGTCCATCTTTTCATGACTCGTCACCTGGGTTTTCCAGAGCGTCGGTGCACGGGGTCGGATACGACGACTCGTCACATGCCTCCGTGGACTTGAAAGGCTCCAGGATGTGTTCCCAGCAGAAGCAGCAGCTGAGGTGGTGTGTCATCAGAGCAGTTGATGAAGCTGATGTTTACACCAGCGGTGCGTTCAGATCCTGAGCTAACAGCTTCAGCGGGCTCCTGACTGACCGGGCGTCTCGGCTGAGACGAGTCAACGCGCCCGAATCCGGGTTCCTCTCCTCGCTTCGTTAACGGCGGCGGCCGGGTTATAAAGTGATGCAGTGTCAGCATGCTTTGGTCGGTTTCTTTATTTCCTGTTGCAAGGGTGACTTTGACAATGTAAAGTAATTTGTAAACTTGCATCAAGTTTATGAATAAAAGCTTTTATGAAATATCTCAAGCTTCTGTTCAGATCTCCTCGTGGCCTCCCCCCAGCATTCACCTGGGCCGCGTTGTCCAGCAGGTGGCGCTCTTCGCTCATAATCACCTCCCTTGGTTCAGTATTTGTTTTTCTCTGCAAGACTTAAATGAAACCGTCTCGCTGGGAACTAGAGCTGATGACGAGCTGCAGGACGGGAATCGGAGATCCATTTTTGGGAAAATAGCGGCGAACCTGATTTTTCTTATTGAAAACTCCATCGAGTCTGATTAACAGATCTCATCTCCAGATTTCTGTGCAGTCACCAGGTGGCGCTGCAGCATCTTAAAGGCATGAAGAACAACAAGCTCCTGGTCTCATCAGTCAGAGGCTGAACATTCCTGTTGCACCATCCTCAAGGTTAAAAGGATGAATGCCGGGAGAGCAGAGGCAGGTTTACATAAGCCTGTAAAACCAAGCTGGTCTAGTCAGCTGGCAGGTCTTGTAGGTGTCATGTTTATGATTAAGAGCTGGATCAGGCTGGAAACAGCTGAACTGACGAGCTGGTGCTGCTCCAGGTGAGCTTCATTCAGATTCAGCAGAGATGACTGATAGCCAGCAGCTTAGCAGCTACATCCATCAGAAACTAAAGCTCTGCCTTCCTTCTGACAGACATCCTGTACAGATCTGGCCACCAGCTCGGTTTTCCTGCATGTTTTAGATGTTTCTTCACCTCCACACGCCCGATTGGAATGAATAAGTAATTAACAGCCTGCTGCAGACTTTTAACCCGCTGGTGAGGTGATGCAACCACCTGGAAACATCTCAAACCTGTGGTGCAGCAGGTAAGACCTTCTACATTGTTTGCATGTATTTCTGCAGAGACAGACTAGAGGAGCTTTTGGGCCAATCAGATGTCGTCCTGATGGTCTCAGTGTCAGCTCACTTAAAACTTTAGCCTCTTCTAAGAAAATGGTTGCTATGCCGACCAGTCCCACAGGTCAGAGGCCACATAACGAACGTGACATCGGCTATTTTTATGTTGCACCCGTTAAAGATTTCATTCAAATAGATTTTTGCTTTGGGGAAAATTCTTACTGACGGTTAAAATGTGTTTTTCATCTCAACATGTAAGAAAACTCGAGTTTGTCACAGTTGAACAGTTTCAGAAGCAAACCGTGAAATTCCCAACAAATTTAATCAAATCTAAAGAGCCATGTTTTAGCGTAGCTTGTTACCCCAAAGCAAAACACGATACTGGGATGTGGGCGCGATCTCCCAAACGCTCCATCCTCCAGGCCCATGAGCCAGAGCAGTACGAGTGTGAAGTCAGGAGTCTCTCAGGCTGTGTGTGTGTGTGTGTGTGTGTGGGGCCGTGCCACCACAGGGTCAGTTTTCTTAGAGCTGACACATTTTTCCATCAGCGTTGCGTGGAAAGCCACTTGTGTGGTTTTCACTCCGTTTTGGGTGTAAGCAGCTTGACCAGCGAGGCTCCAGAGCTTTTGTCTTCAGAAACAAAAAGGAGGGGCTGAACCGAAAGGCTAAGCTGTAGATGTACTGGTCCATCTTTGTTCCAGGCCTCCACTTCAGTCCCCATCTTTGGATCCGGACTGAAATAAGAAGGTTCTGGATACAAGCAGCTGAAAAGAGCTCCCTGCTTGGTGTCCAGATTCAGTGTTGGGGTGAAAGGTGACGAGCTCAGGCTTCCAGGGGCAGCAGAAAGTGGAGCTGCTGCTCCTCCGTGTAGGGAATGAGGAGGGACTAACATCTCCTTTCTGGAGGGTTTCCAGGCTCACAACTTGCAGGAATTCCAACGTGATCAGTGTGTGTAGCCGCAGAGACGATGCTAGTTCCGGGGGGGTCAAATCACGCACGCACGCACGCACGCACGCACGCACGCACACGCACACGCGCGCTGCCGTGGGAACACATCTGTGCAGTTGATTTGATGTTGGTAAACGGATAAAAGAATTTCGGAATAGAAAAGTTGAAATGAGAGTCGGAAACTTTACAGTGAAGGAGATCTTAGATTGACACACAGTCTTTTTCCTGGTTTTGAGTCTCGGTGGGAGACATATTGCATTTTTTACTCGGGGCTTTAGTGAATGACTATTAGATAAAACACACGTATAGCATGAGGGTTTTTCCGGAGGAGCGGTGGTGCTGCAGGCCTTCCTGTGAGACTCCATAACAAACTGAATTTGCACAATATTCCAGGTTTCACGATGGAGGAAGACCTGCGAAGGGAAGCAGTTGATCTGATTTAACCAAAACAGAAAGTCACCAGAGTGAACCCGGGGTTCATTAGATTTGATCAAAGCACGCCTGTTTAATCTAGCAGGAGCTTCAGTCCCACGTGGAGATGCTTCATGAGGATGGAGATGGAGTCTGAGAGGATGCATCCCCGACTGTTTTATTTTCCTAACTGTAACGGAAAGTGAAAGATGATAGAAATGGCAACGACGGTAAACAAAATAAAACTCTAGGAAACGTTTCATTTATCATCAACTTTATTTTCAGGCATCGCCAACAATTAAGTTGATCTCTTACTAAACAGAATAGTTACTTAGAAACTGTGTGTGTGTGTGTGTGTGTGTGTGTGTGTGTGTGTGTGTGTGTGTGTGTGTGTGTGTGTGTGTGTTATGGTGGGTGGCTGCTTATACTGAGCCAGGATCCTCTGGAGGTTTCTTCCTGTTAAAAGGGAGTTTTCCTCTCCACTGTCGCTGCATGCTTGCTTAGTATGAGGATTGCTGTAAAGACTCTGACACTAGTCAGTGACTCGATGCGACCTGCTGGGTTCCTTGTGTGGGAAACTTGTTACTGATTGGCTTAATGACCTGACCTGTGTTGTTTACTGTGTGAAGGTCCTTGAGACGACTCTGGTCCTGATTCGGCGCTTTATAAATAAACTTGAATTGAACTAAAACTGACCCTAAATAAGCCCCAAAGTAAAACGATTTCTACTGCTGGACAAAAAATATAAGTCCAGATGCAACAAAGCCAGGTCACCATCAGTCCATGATTTCATAGCCGCCTTTAGCTCTTTGCTTCACCTCCAAACACATTAGTGCAGCATAAGAAACATCCATTTAAAGGCTGAAAACATGAACGTTTTTTATTTTGATGTAAAACTTTCTAGAGCTGGGGCCCATCTGAGGTCATGAGGAAGCCGATTCCATCTGTGAGCAGCTTAGTAGCTAAAAGCAGCTTCACCCTGTGTGGTTCTGACCCGGTTCTACCAGCTGACCCAGAGCCCTGCTGGGTGTAGATACCTGAAGGAGATCCAGCATGTATGCTGACCCCATGCCACTGATTTATAAACTAGTAGAAGTACTTTGAGATGGATTGTATAGTTTACTGGTAACCAGTGTAGGGATGTAAGAACGGGAGTGATGATGGTCAGGAGTTGTTGCTGTGCTCTGCTACAGTTTCTCATCAGTATCAGCGGCAGAAGGCTCACAGTTTGTTTTGCTGCTGAGCGTTGTCCGTGTCAGAGGAGAAGGTAGGGTCGCGGAGGGGGTGTGGGGACCACACTTAGCCTGGCAGGTGACCAAGCAAAGCACTGTGGGAGTCCCGGCCCTTTAAGCACACATTCTTCTTGCAAAACCAGCAGAAATCACCCGAAGACTTGGTAATTACTGCGTGAGTGAGTGAGTGAGTGAGTGAATGATGCTGGAGCGAGATGTCGTTTTCCAAGCACACATGCTGGAAGCATCATTTGAGTCGTTACTGTGATTGGCTAAAGACAACATATGGTAGCCAGTGCCAGCCAGCACCACCTTGCACGTCCTCCAATCAGCTCACAATATTCTACTAGATTGCCCCCCCCCCCCCCCCCCCCAACAGTTTCTGCTGCCAAGACTCCAGACTTGACTTGACACGGGGTGGGGCTAGACATGAGATCTGGATCGTGTAGCCCTGCGATGGACTGACAAACCTGTCCAGGGTGCACCCTGCCTGTTTGCCCGTGGGCTGCCGGAGGTAGGCACCAACCCCTCTGTGACCCTGCATGGACGAGAGGATACAGACGATGAATGGATGAATTTTCTGTACCTTCTAAACCATACAACTGACACATTAACCCTTTAATCTGCACACCAAGAAGTAGGTGTAGGTTTTCGTAGAGCTCATTCTACTGAAACAGCTCTTCTTAGGGTCTCTAATGACCTTCTGACCCACAGTGATGCAGGGGACTGTTCTGTTCTGGTCCTGCTGGACCTGACTGCAGCCTTTGACACTGTTGACCATCACCTGCTGCTGGAGATGCTGAGAGACTGGGTAGACCTATCAGGAACTGCTCTGGAGTGGTTCTCCTCTTATCTCTCTGAGCGCTCCTTTTCTGTGGCCGTCTCCAAGTTTAGGTCCTCCACCACCTCTCTTACCCATGGTGTCCCACAAGGTTCTGTGCTGGGGCCTCTGCTCTTCCTCCTCTGTCTGCTTCCTCTTCAGCACATCCTGAGCTCCTTCAAAGGAATCTCCTACCATCTTTATGCAGATGACATCCAACTGTACATCTCCTTTAAGCCCCATGAGATGTCTAAGCTGCAGCTGTTACACACCTGCTTAGACTCTATCAAAACCTGGATGGTGGGAGCTTTCTACAGCTGAATGAAGATAAGACTGAGATCCTCATCTGTGCCCCAGACAAGCTGGTTCCCAAAGTCAGAGACTCTCTTGGTCAGCTTGCTTCCCACACCAAACCCTCTCTCAGGAATCTTGGCATGACCTTTGACCCAGCTCTCACCCTGGATTCTCATGTCAGTTCTCTTGTTGGCTCTTCCTTCTTCCATCTCAGGAACGTTGCTAAGCTGAGTCCCATTCTGTCCCGCTCTGAACTTGAGACAGTTCTCCACACCTTCATCTCCTCACGCTTAGACTACTGTAACTCTCTTTTCACGTGTCTGAGCAGAACCTCCCTGAACCGTCTACAGGTGGTTCAGAACGCCTGTGCTCGGCTTCTGACCAAGTCCTCCAAACACACCCACATCACCCCGCTTCTCCTCTCTCTCTTTATTCTGCTCTCCCCACCTATTCCA